AGCTCGGCTATGACTAGGGATAGATTTGACTTTATTTTTCGCCACCTTCATGTCAATGATAATCTGGATTTGCAAGACAAATACACAAAAGTACGACCCCTAGTTACACTTCTAAATAAAAAGTTCTTAGAGTTTTCTCCTCTTGAAGAGCATTACAGTGTAGATGAAGCCATGATCCCCTACTATGGTAGACATGGCTGCAAACAGCACATAAAAGGTAAACCTATTAGGTACGGGTTCAAAGCTTGGGTTGGTGCTACACGGTTAGGGTATGTTTTATGGATGGAACCATACCAAGGTGCTACAACTATGTGCAATCCAATATATAAAGAATTGGGGCTGGGTGCAAGCGTTGTTCTCACTTTTTGTGATGTGCTGATTTCACGTGGCTTCGACCTTCCTTACCACGTAGTTTTTGATAATTTTTTTACTGGGACGCCCTTGCTGGAAGAGATAACAAAGAAAGGCCTTCGTTGCACTGGGACAGTTCGAGAAAACAGGACATCTAGTTGTCCTCTGATTACATCGAAGTTACTGAAAAAAAAGGAACGTGGTGCTGTCGATTACAGAACGACACATGACAACACGTTCATTATTGCTAAATGGCATGACAATAATATATTCAGTATTGCTTCTAATGCTGTAGGAATAAATCCTAAACAATCTGCCAAACGCTTCTCACAAAATGAAAAGAGAAACATTGTCATAGAAGAACCACATATGGTGTCCATCTATAACAAATATATGGGAGGAGTGGATCGGTCTGATGAAAATATTTCACATTACCGAATTGGTATACGAGGTAAGAAATGGTACATGCCGTTGCTCACACACATGATTGATCTTGCCGAACATAATGCATGGCAGTTATATAAAATCATGGAAAACTGGATCATCTTGGCTTTCGCAGAAGGGTAGTAATTGCTTTGATTGAATCAAACAGAAAAAATGCCAAAAGAGGGCCTAGCCGACCCTCCCATCATGAACATGCTGATAGCCGTAAAGACCAAATGAATCATCTGGTTATTCCTCAATCGAAGCAAACACGCTGTCGTCAATGTCACAAAAAATGTTTGACACGTTGCAAGAAATGTGATGTTGGAGTGTGTGTCAAGTGTTTTGAAACATATCATTCATAAATAGTGTTAATCTAGTAAATTACATATAACAATGGGTAATATAATCAATAGTTATCTAATAAACTACACTTTTTGATTACATTCTGTTTTGTCATAAATGGTCTTTTATTTCCTCTTATTATCCTACTGTCCTACATATAGGACGGCTGTTTCCTTGAAAGCCTTACACTTAATTTTTTTTTCATAATTTTTTTTATGTTGCATAAGATCTAATAAACTAAATAATGTAACTTTTTTCAAAATTTTCAGAAAATTTTAGTTTCAGGCTTATCTGGGATATGGCAATAGGCTCACCCCCTATTACATGGGGCTCATAAAATAAATATTGAAAAGTGGGTGTTACTTCTGTGTGCACGGGTAAAGGGTAGGCAGAGACCCTTTCGGGGATAAAAGGCGTGATGTTATGTTATGTAACTATTTTTTTTAAATGTCACACATTCTTCATTAGAGGTATATTGTGAAAATTTAAATATAGGTATATCTAGTAGTAAATTGTACCTAATTTTCGATTATAGCACTAATCAATAAGTAGTATCTATAATAGATCAAAGTCTAAACGGAAATCCGATACCGAATTACCAGATTATTGATATGAATGACAGCTTATGATTACAATGGTACTTCTAATTTTATATGTAGATGTTATCCTCACGTCCATTACTTGGCATTTTCACATGCTGTATTATACGACACAACACCTTATTACGTTATCAAATTATTGTCTCTCCTGTTAAAATATTATACCCTAAATTTGTTCATACAAAAATAGTCTCTAAACATCGGAAATAAGGTCTATAATGTAGTTAGTGGAGAGCGGTCACCGGTGACCGCTTGGGGATATATAGGTTGTTTCTTTGGTCGACTGGTCACGAGATTTTTTGATACTGATGTCGGACAAATATATACAGCGATTTGTATTAAGTATGACATTATTCACCACTTCTTTATAAGCCGGCTAAAGGAGAGAGACTGTGATCTAAAAGGCATAAAAATTTAGCATCATCAAACGTTTTGGACTCCTGCCTGCTGTTAATAAAAGTTACACTTGAGCCACATGGGGATCCTTATTTTGTCGAATATTTTATTCAGTTACTGGGCAAAAGACGAATTAATAGACATGAGTATACATTTATGTGCCTTTTAGTTGTCTCTTACAATGTATGTTTGCAGCAAAATGACCCGCAATAACTATAATGCATTAAGAGATCCCGTGCATACTGCTTTACCTACTTTAATCGTATATCCAAAAATTAAGACTACTCGTAACTCGAAATCTTGAAATAATGCGAAGTCACTTCGAAACAATATAAGAGTAACCGATTAATCGATTAATCAGTAGATATTTTACGTACCAACCAATAAATGAATATCATTGATTTGCAGGCTACTATGTACTAGAAAACTCCAATCATTGTGATAAAATTTAAGATTATAAAAGATAGATTGATTAAAGGAAATTGGATAAAATAATTGACTGAATTTGATAATAATTTGTTTACACTAATTGAGTCAGCTGATATTTTAATCATACCTACCTACCTAGACTCTTAAATGTAAGTGCAATGGTCTCAAGCTAGATTTTTAATCACTATTAAAAAAAAGTAAAAAAAAAGAAACATTCCTAAAGGGCCCCGAATTATTGCGTACCTAAGGGCCCCAGAGTAGCCGAAGACGGCCCTGGTTATAGCTACAATTGATCAGATATGCTATTCGATGGGACGGCAAACTGACAAAACTGAACTAAAACTCGTGGGTTACTCACGTGAATATACTGAGAAAAGCTCTACTAGTTTCGAACCCCAGAGGGGTTCTTCCTCATGAACAGCGTGCGCGGTCGTGCCGATGTCGCGCAGCCTAATGACAAAACTTGTACAATTAAAATCATATTCCTCTACCAGTAAATGTTAATACATAAGTAACCAGTATATTAGACTACCTGGAATATTTTTAGGTACCTTGTAAGAGTTTCTGCCTTTTCGGTTTTCATAACAACATTACAGTCTTAAAGAAAGGAAGAAAAAATTCTACGATAACTAAGAACGCCCACTTTTAAACTATCGTTCTGTTAATTGAATAAAAAGGTCAATAAAATAAAATAAATCACTTTGTTTTCAAGTAACTAAAGCATTGAAATAATCACACTCCCCGTGTACTACATAGATTACACGTTTATACCGAACTGATAAAATTCAACCAATGTCAAACTCCTATACAAGGCCAATGTCAAGATTAATTTTCAGTATTTCATAATATGGTAACTGCCTACTAAATCCAATAATAACAGTTGAAACTTTTTTTGAGAGAAGAATATCATTAAATATGGCTATCGTTTTTTTTATGGCATAAGGCGGTAAACGAGCAGACGGTTCACCTGATGGTAAGCAATCACCGTCGTTCATGGACACTTGGAACACCAAGGCGTTACAAGTGCGTTACCGGACTTTTGGGAATTTGAGGATTGTGGAGGAATCTGGAGACTGGGGAGGGGGTTAATTGGGCCTCCGGTTACCTCACTCACATGACGAAACACAACGCAAGCGTTGTTTCACGTCGGTTTTCTGTGAGGCCGTGGTATCACTCCGGTCGAGCCGGCCCATTTGTGCCGAAGCATGGCTCTCCCACACTTGGTACGTGCTCTGGGTAAGGCAAGATCTCTTTTGTCTCAAACTTTTATTAACTAAAAACCATCCCATTTCAATTGCTTTGAGACGGAGCTCCTGGCAACCCTTACGCCAGTAATTCGGTGGAACCAAGCAAAGGGTTTAGTTTACCACAATATGAGCGTACGGCGCGTCGCGTTCTGCGCGCGCCTCAAAAAGCCATCAGACCACCACAGATGGGGCCCAACAGGGCCGATGCCGATTCGGAGTCGCGGAGAATCCAACGGGCTACCGGACGTGCAGGAGAAGGAACGGGGTGGTTTTTAGTCAGTAAGAGTCTGACACTCCCTCCCGCCTCACCCAGGCGGGAGCAGCCATTTAGCATCACTTTCCTGCCTTAAAAAAAGTATAAGTACCACAATATCACACAATGTTATATTGTCATTTTTATATTTTATTTATACTGCATCGTGGCTGGTGCTGAATAAAGGTTTTTTTCTTTCACTTTTATTGAATATCCACTTTTGGATTTCTGATCAGCAGTGGAGTTTAAAATGGCGCTCGGGTAGAATTCGGTAAGCTCACTCCATATTACATGGAACTCATAACATAACTGGAAAAAACAAGGTGTTAGAAGCACCAATCAGAATAAAAAAAGTATAAGATAAAAATATGACTGATAATATCTAGTGTCATGAGTAAAATTTGATAAGAACCTTAAACTACGTGTATAGAATCCTGCCTGCTGAACCCAAATAATTATATTATGTTTACTACAATGTATATGGAAATTAATTTAATTTTATATGGCATATTGTCATGTGGACCCGAGCATGAGGTCTCAGGTTTTATTTTATATTACTAGAGGTTTATCAATTAGTAATTGGAGTTTAGAATTGTGACCGATGTTTCTACTTCATGTATTTAAAATGTGAATACACCATTAAACATTTTTGAGGACTGAAATGGTCCATTTAACGAAAAATGTTTACTCAACCAAAATTTGTATTGACAAGTTTAACTGACCGTTTTGCATTATCAATAACAACGTATTAAATAGTTATCCGCAAACATTAATTAAAATCAATTAAAACGTACGGAACACCGTCTCAAACTAATCTGTATTGACGGTTAACTTATCTATCTACCTACAACTCTGTATATATGTGCGGCTATGTTTATTACAAGCGCGTTCTCGAGAACTCACCATTAATAGGAGACCGCGGGGAGCGAACACACGTGTGTACAAACCGGCATCGAAATGGCAAAAGTAGAAATCAAATACACAAAGGTTAGTACCATTTAGTACTTTATCCTATAACCCATACGATATACAATTCAATGATAGAAGTGTAGAACAAAAACTGTGATATTTTTACACGTAAATAAATATAGTCGCTAGAATTTTACAGTGACCGACTACATGCTAATGCGTGTCACATGTAAATATTTTTTGGACAGTCTCGTTACTGTGTTTTAGATACGAGTAACTTCTCAATTCGATTGTTATGTGTTTTTTAACTGTGATTACGTAATTATTTGGCATTCTGTTATATTACGAATACACATTTGGCTACAAGAAACACTTCGTCTGTAACAAGCCGGTAACTCTTGTCAGCTTTTGATATTAATAAAAAATAATAGTTATTTAGTACGGTCGACGTTTCTGTAGCAAGTACTGAAAACTAATAAATCTCTTGTTAGCAACGAGCTGTAATTTCAGACTTCCGTATGTAGCGACAATATAACGCGACACAATAGACGGTACTTGTAACTTGGTATTGGATTAACAAAACCACAATAGGTGATCGAATTCAGTGTACAAAATCAATGTAGTAGATACGTTTGTTATTTACATACAATTCTGTATCTATATACCAGTTTCATTTAGATATTTATCAGACTCGACAAACTTCGTACTAGCTCAAACATTTTTTCTTACCTATTAAAACCTTCCCTGGACGTCCACATAATAATATCATAATTCAAGACCCAAAGTAACCAAAACGGTCTAGCCGTTTTTGAGACTAATGAACAATTCAGTTTTATATCTATATATCGTAACGCTAAAAATAAATTAATTACACAATTCAGTAGCAATAAAACTAATAATAAATAATAATAAAGGCAGTTCTCCTAGAAACGGCACGTATTGTGAGGAGGTTTCTGTCTCTGGAGCCCTAACCACCGGTAGCTTGGACCATGCTCCCGCTACTGGTCGGCTCCTATTTTTTATATATTTTTTTTTATTGTAAGTAGTATTTAAAAATATAAATTATAGAGAATTTTCAATAAACATATGTGAATAGTAATAAAATTTAGTCATAATTCATAAATATTAAATACAAAATAATTATGTCTTATAAGTAAGTAAACTATCTAAGACATTGGTCGTCTACTCATTTAACATAAACAACGTTCACAGTAGGGAATTACAACCCCTACAATTGTTCTGTAGGTCGGTTAATAATATGTTTACCTTGTTTATATTTTCCTAATCTTTCAGGATAAAGTTGCACTATAATATTGTTATTGATGACGTTACATTATTGATAAGCGTCGAAGATATTTTGTTTCGATTTGGAAGAAAACGTTAAGAAACAGACGTTTGTTTTTTAAATGATTAATCATTTTTTAAGGATTTCAATTGCTTCACTTTTTATTTATTTATATCTGTTGTACGAAATGTGAACGTATTGTCATGTAGCTATATTTTTAATTAACATATTTTTAATTCGTTTAGTTGTTCATCAACAACGAGTGGGTGGACGCTGTCAGCAAGAAGACCTTCCCCACCATCAACCCTCAGGATGAGACCGTTATCGCACAAGTGGCTGAAGGCGACAAGGTAAATTTTGTACTAAATATATTCAAAATGTTATACTACCTATCCATATCTTAAGATAAACCCAACATGGGTGTGTAGCAATTTATCGAAAGTGTCCAAGACTGAATTTTTATCACACCGAAATGAAAATAATATATAACAATAAAATTGAATTATTTAGAACAAATCTTGTAAATGTATATCGCATTTTTTTCTTACACCTGCGAATTAAATAGTAAGTTTTATCGAATAGAAACAGTGCATCTAGTAACAGGTATTAGCAATTGTTTTTATGGTGATTATGTTCATCACAGGCTGACGTAGACTTGGCCGTAGCCGCAGCCAAGAAGGCGTTCCACCGCTACTCCGAATGGCGTACCCTCGATGCCTCCCAAAGAGGTCGCCTCCTCCTCAAACTGGCTGACCTCATGGAAAGGGATGCCAAGTACCTGGGTGAACTGGAAACCCTCGACTGCGGCAAGCCCGTCAAACAGGCTGAAGGAGAGGTTTTGTGGTCTGCTGGCATCATCAGATACTATGCTGGCAAAGCTGACAAAATCCTCGGAAACACCATTCCCGCAGGTACCTATCACATTTAAGGCTTGTTTCACAATGATGTATCTGATGAATTAAGAACGATATTTGAATGAACTATCTATCACATAAGTTTATCGAGTACCTTATAGGAAGGTGGTCAAACAGTCTACTAAGTTACGTACAAAATACACAAGGTGGTGTAACTGTCGCTAAGTTACATACTACCGTACCCATAAAAATATACACACATTACGTACTTATACATAAACGTATTCAAGACAAAACCATCTCGATCATTTTCCATTTTTTTTTCTGTTCTCAAGGCTAAGTCGAGTAAACACTGACACCTTTAGAATATCAAATAACTTCGCAAGATTGAGGATTGACATTATGTACCTTTATTAATGGTAATTTTTGCCCATCGTCATGAAAAGTTTTAAATATGCTTAACAAGGAATCTTTTCTTACAAAGTTGTTTATTTCTTCTTTTATTGTAGTGGAAAAGTCTATCACAATGATTTATATTGGTCATTATGCTTTTATTACAATAACAGAATCATATTTTATACGCGTAGGTATATTATGAATTATTTAAAGACTATGTATTGGAGTTATATCAGTTAAAAGACAAAAGAAAATAGCTATAGTAACTATTTAGGGGCAATTTTTCAACGCCAGATAAATTTTAACATGTAAACCGCCGCGTAGGTCACCAGTGACCTACGTTAGCGGAGGATTTGTCTTCAGCAGTTTTCTGTCAGCAGTCAAAGGCTTAACTAAGGAATAACATTGAATATTTGACAATTCTTCCATACTAAAAACTGACAAATGTTAATTTTATTCTCTGGAGTCAAAAAATTAGCCCTTAGTCAAGTAATCCTTTAATCATTTTTATGCTAGTTTAACCTCTTGACTATATAAGACAAAACAAGACGGTATATAAGACACAATAGAAAATGCTTTGTGTCTCGCGTAGATCTACGTTCCGGCACACGACGGGTTAATCATTTGTCGTTACTCTCCCAAACATACATAAATATGTTTATACATAAATGCCATAAAATAACAAATAAACCTTGATAATCAACACCCTACATAATCGTATGATACGTACCATATTATTATCATCTGTTAAAAACACCACCACCCACGATAACATCAAGTGTTAGAACTCTAATTACAGATAACAATAGTTGATCTTTGATATCATTGTTGTTATGATTTATTGTTACCTAAAAATATAATTAAAATCTTCATACTTAATACTAATTACTAATTTAAAATGTTAATATTATAGTGTGTTTTTGCACTCAATAACTCCAAAAACTGCTGACGGAATCTGGATCAAATTTAGCACATAGATTGAATAGAATATCCCTGAAGTATTTTCAAATAGGATTAAGCTTACAATAAATCTATAATTATCAATGCTATAGTCAAGACATAAACATCAAAAAAAGCGACCTTATATCTACACAATAGAGGATATTTTGAGTGTGACCTTGTACCGTGTCGTGAGTTATATCATCGCCATTATATTTCAGACGGTGACGTCATGACCTTCACCTTGAAGGAGCCCGTGGGTGTTTGTGGACAAATCCTGCCATGGAACTACCCAATCCCCATGTTCGTATGGAAAATCGCCCCTGCTTTTGCAGCTGGTAAGTTTTTCTTATATTTACCCACACTTACATACATAAAAAAGTGGTACAGTTACAAATAAATAGATCGAATTAATTCTTCAGTTACCTATGTAGGAAAAAAGTTAAGATTATTTCAACAGTCTTATTGCTACAAAACAAAATTGGATTTTAACTGTCAAACTTTACGTCTGAAGAGAAGTTTGAAATATTAAATGAAATGAAATATATAGCTCCAGCTTTTTATAATAAACTAAGAATATTTGTCTTTAAATACAAAACCTAATTAACTAAAATAATAGCAACGATATTAATTTTATAATTGTTTGCCAAACTCAAGATCTTCATTAATAATGAACCTTATTCTGTTCCCGCTAAGGTTGCACCGTGGTCCTCAAGCCCGCTGAACAGACTCCCCTAACTGCCCTCGCTATGGCAGCCCTTGTCAAGGAAGCTGGTTTCCCTGCTGGAGTCCTCAATGTTATCCCTGGCTACGGACCCACAGCTGGAGCAGCCATCAGCCACCACCCTGACGTTGACAAGGTTGCCTTCACTGGATCCACTGAGGTGAGCTTCTATCATTACATAGGACTATAAGACGGGATCAAGCGTTACTCGGCGGAAACCCATATTACTTAATACTACTGGAAATTATTTTTAGGTTGAATTTCGCTATGAAGTATGGGGGTGGTGCTTCATACCGTATGCTGGAAATACAATATTTTATATCGGAATTAAAACTAAATATTTTTTCTGGTAGTATTAGATAATTAGTGAGCCTCTTATGTTAGGTATGAAATAACATCATCATGTATTTCATTCGTCATTAGTGATGCATAATATTGAAATAATGCAACACCCACTTTTATTCCATTTTAAGTCTTGATTATGAATTTCGTGTCTTATGTATACACACACAGGGTTCAATATCAACCTCCGTAGGTACTGGAAATTTGGTTGGAATTGGTCATAACTTGGAAAGTTGTGCTTGAAACCATTCGACAACGAGGCCGTCTCTCATTTTATGACTACTGAATACCTGTCGTAATGTGGACAGGACACGCTCTGAAACTTATAAAAATAAAATAATCAATAACGTTAATATTGTTTGTGTTAGCCAAACATCCTGGCCCTTGAATTCTTAATTTAATGGAACTCAAATTTTTAATAATATAATCTCATAACAGTTAATACGGACTTGCTAGCCTATGAAGTCCAGATAGGGTTGATGCCCGATACGGAGCCGCAAAAGGCCTAAAGGGTTGCCGGGGCTCCGGCTCAATGAGCAGGAGTAGGAACCGGATGGTTTTTAGTCAGCAAGAGTCTAACACTACCCTCTCGCCTAACCCAAGGCAGGAGAATACATTGGATGATTTTCCCCACTCAAAAATATAACGCCTATGAAATCAATTCTCGCCCGTCATATGTCGAGATTATTCTCATAAGACTAGATGAGAATTTTTACTAGAAATATGACATAATGTTTGTAAAAATTTCTCGAAACATAAACTTCTTATATCGTAGCTGTAGAATTCAGCACTTATATGTGTAATCAGAATGTATATTTTATAACCAACGATAAGGCGTCGCTAATTAATACGATTAGGCTCTTACAATGGAGGGATATTACCAAGTGTAGGTAAATGTTATGAAAACAAAATATACAAATTTCAATCTAAATACCAATCGAGAACTTTCTTCCATCAATTTTCATTAATCTCCCAAATGTTCATAAGCATAACGTATGAAGTTAATCTCGGATATCAAAATAATGACATAACAAAATCGAAAGGTAATAAAGTCCCCAGAAATATGCCATTCATTCTTATACTTTGTAACGATAAGATAAAGCTCATTATACAATGTTACACAACATTATGTAAATTGTGTAAACAATCGTGGTTCGATAGAATAAATATTAATCAATTATCACCTTTTTGTTTTGTCCATTACTCGGTATTGTTACAATGGACTGCAAAATAAATAGTTTTTACTAAACGTTTACTTAATCGTGTTTTCTTTAGAATCTGAATACGATTACAATAATAATCTACTAAAATCTGTTACACAAATACTGGTTTCGATTCAATAACTACAATTGTCAAATGGGTTGGGTTAAGGCTAAGGATAGTTCCAGAAATTTAGACACTGAATTAAATTAACAAACTGCAACTCTATTTACATTGCCACAGGAATCAAAATGTCGAATGTAACATTCGCCTTACAAATAAATCCATGTTTTTATATCTATCGTGTATCTATCGTGAGACATACTGAATTAACTAAAAATCGCGGGTAACTCCCGTGAATAGTGGCTCAAGTAGGTTGCGTGACATCACCTCGACCACGCATGCTACTCATGAGGAAGAGCCCCTCTGTGGCTTGAAACTAGTAGAGCCTTTCTCAGTATATTCACCATTTTCATATAAACCATTTTCCATACTTAACAGGAATACTTTTATAATCTAAACAATTACATATTGTCTATTAACAACTTTAATCACCAGCTCACTTTTCACAGATAAATTCTTGATCACTAGGATCAAGAATTTATCTCAATATTTATTCTATTGACATACCGCAAACTATGCATTAACATTATAAATAAGTTAACATATATTACATTGAGTCATCAGTCATCACGGAAAATAAAATAATTATTATGTTTTTATACACACAGGTGGGCAGAATCATTATGGGAGCTGCGTCTGCTGTCAACCTCAAGAGAGTCACTCTTGAGTTGGGAGGCAAGAGTGCTCTAGTCGTCTTCAATGATGCCGATGGTAAGATAACTTAATTTTGTGTATATTAAAGTGCGGGAGACATATGCTTATGCATGACTGCACAAGCTTGATCGAAATCAAACCACGGCCTTATAGAAAACCGGCGTGAAACAACGCTTGCTTTTTATGTCCCTGTGTGAAATCCCTAACCCTCAAGTGCCTCAAAAGGCCGGCAACGCACTTGCAACTCCTCTCGTGTTGCAGGTGTCCATGACCGACGCTGATAGCTTATGGCAATCAGTCTGTCGACATTGTGTGCTTGTTTGCCGTCATGTACCGTAAAAAACAAATGAATGCGTATTGTAGCTACCCGGTCTCTGGCAAAAATGTAGTCCCTTATTTCATTGGTCGCCATCACCATCATCATCATTAACAGCCTGTTTTCGTCTACTGCTGGATATAAGCCTCTCAATTGGTCACCATACATGGTTTTTTTTGATAAACAAATCAAATATGCCTCGTTGGCAGAATGGTCACAAGTGCGACTGCCGGGCAAGGGTCTCGGGTTCGATTCCCGGGTCGGGCAAAATATTACTGGGTTTTAAATCTCAGTAGTAGCATGGAGTCTGGAAATGTGCCCGGTATATGGCAATAGGCTCACCCTCTATTACATAGGACTCGTAACATAAATTGTGAGAAGTGGGTGTTACATTGTACAGTGGCATTAAGTGCCGTAATGTGCACCTCTGCCTACCGCTTCGGGGCGTAAAAAGGCGTGATGTTATGTTACAAATAAAATATTAATCCATGTCGCATTATCAATTTTTTACACGTTGTCAGTTAAAACTCAAGGTCAACTCTATCTGCACAACAGTGGGGAGCATTTAAATAGTTCAATTCTTTCAATTGATTCTGAGCAGTATACTGGGGTCTCTAATTGGTAACAATTGCTTGTAACACTAAAAATAAGATAGAGGACTAACAATCAGAATCAGAAAGTGAAATAAAATACTAGTTTGTTTTCAGCAACTTTGAGACAGATTAATATTTTTCAGACTTAGGTTCATTATACAAGTAATACGAACTATTATGTAATGACTTGCTTGCTTGCTTGAAAAAATAGCTCGCAATAGTTCCAATACAAACTACGATCTTTACATAATAACCGACTAGATAGGTTGACACATTTACCTATTGACAATTTTAAGAATTCGAACACGAATTTGTCTTCTTGTCAAAATAGATAGCGTGATTCACTCTAAAAGCTTAAATTAAGAAAGTGTATCTCAATTCAATGAAAAATGTATTTACATTTATAATTTGAACACGAAAATACTTTAAACAATGCAATGTCCATAAGTTTCACGAAACGAAATAATTAGCTTGAACTAAAAATATCACGATGACATCTTCTCAGTACTGGTTATAATATATCGTGTAATAGGGCGGATTAAGACACCAATTAAAGTCACTTTTACTAAATAGAAATTAATTATTCCATACAAATGCACTTAAATTCATTGCTATAAGTTTTAAATCCATTTATATGTAGGTATGCTCTATAAACAGAAAAAATATAGCAAACATCACGTAGAATTACTGTGAGGATCTAAACATTAAATAACTCAATAAAAGATAAACACAAAGAAAAATTCATACTTCCGAAAATATTTTTTTTTTATGGCATAAGCCGGTAAACGAGCAGACGGATCACATGTTGGTAAGCAATCGGCGTCGCCCATGGACACCTGGAACACCAGAAGCGTTACAAGTGCGTTACCGGCTTTTTGGGGATTAGGAGTTTAAAGATTGTTGGGGATTCGGGGATTGGGGAGATTGGGGTAGGGGAGGGTAATTGGGCCTCCGGTAACCTCACTCACACGACGAAACACAACGCAAGCGTTGCTTCATGTCGGTTTTCTGTGAGGCCGTGGTATCACTCCGCTCGAGCCGGCCCATTCGTGCCGAAGCATGGCTCTCCCACACTTTAAATTAATTAACAAATTAATTTAAATATATCTAATTACAGTTGAAAAGGCTGCTGATATCGCACACAGGGCTGCGTTCGCCAACGCTGGTCAGTGCTGCGTAGCTGGCACCAGGACCTATGTGCAGTCTGGCATCTACGACAAGTTTGTTGCCAAAGCCGCCGAGATCGCCAAGAACAGATCCGTCGGAAACCCTTACACAGACGTCCAGCAAGGCCCTCAGGTTTGTTACTACACATGCAAAGATGATAGATGAAATATTAGTCACCATTGATTTTATCTATGGGAGAAGTCATATATTTTGAAGAAAGAGTCGTTAATATTTTCGGTATTATAAACAATACAAAAATAAATAACCACAAACTAAGTACCATTACAAAATCGGTAACATGAATACGAAAACTAAATACGCTTCATTTAGACCGTGATTGGAACTGCGTGATTATTATCTACATAAGTATGAAAACTGTATAATTATTTATGTATGAAAATTCAGTTACTCAAAAACACAAGACGACTTCCCAAAAAAAGGTAATATTCGTTAATGGGAAATAAATGTTTTTTTCCAGATCGATAATGACATGTTCACCAAAGTCATGGGCTACATTGATGCTGGTAAGAAGGGTGGTGCCCGTTGTGTAGCTGGTGGAGCTCGCCAAGGCAACGTTGGTTACTTCGTTCAGCCCACCGTCTTTGCTGATGTCAAGGATGACATGAAAATCGCTAGGGAAGAGGTAAGTTACAATATTACCCTAAAATATTTATGAATATACAATTGTGTAATGAGAATCTTTATTTACTACTAGCTGTGCCCGCGACTTCGTTCGCGTGGAATAGTGACTAAAAGCAGCGTTTTTTTTTAAATATATATTTATTTTTATTTTGGATTAAAAAAACAATAAACTACCGATTCCCATGGGAAACGGATGTTTTCCCGCGGTAAAAAGTAGTCTTTATGTTGCGCCAGGCTCTAAAATATGTCGGTACAAAATTTCAACCAAATCTGTCAAATAGTTGCGGAGATTAATGGTGCCTATGTATGTATAAGCATAGAATAGTGTTCGACGTGATTCTTTAATTTGACATAACTTTTTTATTTATGAACCGATTGACATGAAACAAACACTAAAGCATAACTGAAGCATACCACATTAAAACCGCATCCAACTCGGATCAGCCGTTTCTGAGATTAGCGTGAACAGACAAACAGACAAAAAAAAAGTTAATTACATTTTTGGGTTCGACATCGACATAACAATAACCCCTGCTATTTTTTTTATTTTTATTTTCAATGTACAGACAGCACTTTTCTACAATTTTATTATATGTATAGATAGATAGATATGTAGGTCAGACAAAGACATTTGAAAATATCAATAATGATTATTCATTTAATATGGATTTCATTCATTATTAAATGCATATTTTATTCCTACGCATGGTTATTGAAGCGTTACTTTAATATCTTCTTTGACTGTTTTATAGTAGAATGTTAAAGTACTAAATTTTCAGCTCAACTAACTCCTTTGTACACCGTGGATGGGATCCAAATTGAACAATTTCTGTCGTTCCATTTTTGCCTAGTAATATCACCTTATATTTTTGTCTCCACCAGATCTTTGGACCCGTCCAGAGCATCCTTAAATTCGAGACCTTTGAAGAGGTCGTGGACCGTGCCAATGACTCCAACTACGGTTTGGGTGCTGGTGTGATCACCAATGACATCACCACAGCCCTGGCCTTCATCAAACATGTCCGCGCCGGATCTATGTGGTAAGACTCGAATTACAGTAGTGAAATAAACTTTTGTAAATCTAGATTTTCGACTTTATTACGAAGCAATAAAATTGAAAATCTATGTAATAGATTGAATTAGATTTGATTATATACCGATACTGCAAATTATTCTTTCTGTATAATTTGTGATTTTATGTATTTTTTTAAGATAAAAACGATTTCTTTTCATTATATGCACCAGGTCTCAAATGTCTCATATTAACCAACGTGTCAGATTGTGTTTATTGTCTTCAAAATTTTGTTTTAAACTAACCTTTGGATACTGGAATGTCACTCAATTTTAACTACAGCTGTAAACTGTGCACTGACTTATGAATGATTTATTAGAAATAACTACTGAAGCGGTTAGTTTGGTACATACTTCAAAGTCACCGCGAAAACCTCTAGCCCAGAGATGGAGAACCATTGGCACCCGTGCTATTGATGGCACGGAACACAATATAGTGGGCACGACAGTGACCTCTCAACACATAAAACTATGATTTTAAATAGGCAACGCATTTGTGAGAATTGTCTATCTAGTGTTAGTAATATCAGGCCAACTGCAAACTTTATTGCTAATCTGCTTGGTTATTAGTAGTTTGAAAAGTAGAAATAATTTAATGGGACATTTAACGACCTCAATACATATTTCTTCAAAGTGATTGGCACGTCAATGTGTGAAGGTTCGCCATCCCTGCTCTAGCCAATGCATTTGCAACACCTCTGGTGTGGTGTTACGGATGTCATCAGAGGCCTTAGTACGAGTTTCTTTTACGTTTAAAGTAATCGAAACAAAACCTCGTCTGGCGCTTTGATTGGTTGTTTCATTGGAGCCGGCCAATCACAGCGCCGAACGCGTACTCGTTAGATTACTAAGACTAAGGCTTCAGAGTACCAAACACGAATAACTATCGTATTTAACAAATGTAATAGTATCGAGTGCGTTCGATGTTCTCATTGGCCTGGTCCAGTAAACCAACCAATCAGAGTGTATAAGTTACGAATGCGATAGTTATTCGTGTTTCGCTCTCAGGTCAAAATCAATCTTAGATACCAGCCTTAGCTTAGACTGTGACTTTATTAAACTAGAAAAAGCCTAGGCTAACAGTCTTAAAAAATTGAGTGACGTCTAAGTATTCGATAATAACACGATGATGAAAAATTATTGTGAATTGCGTCTCAATCATACGTGAACATTTATCGTTTTGTCCAAAGGTGCAATGACTTTAAGTAGGTATAATAATTTAAAGTAAGTATTTATTACCATAATTTATGTGTCACCGTATTTGAACTGTTTACTAATACAATCCATTAAATAAATGTGCTCATTAGTATCGTGTCAAAGGCAATGCTTAGTTTAATAAATATCACAATTTTATTTCTTCTCTTTTACGCGATATTTACGCTTTTTTATTTACGCATTACATATCAGAAAATTAAAAATAAGTGTAATTGGGCATCCATTTTCATTTAAGAGCGTTTTCGAGGCACGGGATTTCATACACAATTTCAAGTCAAAACTACTGAACTGATTTTAATGAAACTTTATACTCACACGCACACAATTTAATATTAAGGTCTAAAAAGTGAATTAGACTTATACTAAAATGTCCCTAGTTGTGGGTATTTGCTTTCAAAACAGAGCTTTGCTTAACTATTCACAAATGTCATATACCTTTTGTTCTTCTAACTTCTTTGTTGTTCTTTTCATCTTACATTTGGTGTTGGTCATCCTCTTTTCGATTCCTCTTCATCATAATTTATGTTATTATGAAAATTTTATACTTTATATTATTATTTTAGGGTCAACACCTACGACCAGGTATCCCCACAGACTCCATTCGGAGGATTCAAGGAATCTGGTATTGGAAGGGAGATGTAAGTACTCATATCTACTCTTTAATCTCAAGTTTTTTTTTCAATATATAAACCTTAAAAAACAAATTAAGGGTCTGTTCCACCAGGTTCATTTAAGTACCCAACAGATTTAAAACTTATGTGTTCATAAAAATTACGTTCTTAATTCAAATTCGTTTGGATAGTCGCCATGTCCACTACCTCTACATGATGACTATTCGGACATTGTGAAACAGGCCCTTACTCTGAGGAGGCTAATTCTAATTTACAATACCTATTTTATCTTTATAACAATTAACAAATTAATCATTTATACCTCCTTCAAAATTGGATAAGAATTATTGGTCCCCATACTAAATGAAGTGCAACAAAAAACATGTATGGAATGACAATTTTCATAAATTTTTCAGGGGCGAAGACGGTATCCTACAGTACCTGGAGACGAAGACTGTTTCTTTCAGCCTAGCCAAGAAGCCTCAACTGTAAACTGAAGAAAAACCTGAATAAAATATTATCGTTTAATCTGAAATATTGTATATTTAAGTATATGCCAAATATAACGTGATATATTTAACTTGTATATTTTTTATAAAGATTTATTATATAAACATATCTTTTTTTTCTATTATCTAGTTTTATTTTAAAAATAAATTAAGTATAATATATATTTATGTATCTTTGTTTAATGATTGTAGTACATTTTCTACATTTTTATACCTCTCTTAAAATAATATTTTCCATCTTTTTCAGGGTTAACACTTATGAACACGTGACGCCTCAGACTCCCTTCGGTGGATTCAAGGAATCCGGAATTGGTCGCGAATTGTAAGTAGACATGTATTAAATTTTTTAAAGACTACAATGAGACAGGGTTTAAAAGTGACATTGAAAGAATTTAAACTGTCAAACACCAAGCGGTCACCGGTGACCGCAACCTATTTTTCTTTAATTGTGTCTATAAATACGGTACTCGACGAGTTAAATAGTTCACGCTAGTAAAATTTGCTTTAGACCTTGGCTAGGTGTCGATATTAGTAAGACTTATATTGATTTTCCAATAGAATATTCTAATCCACAGCGGTGATAATTCAAAGATGTTAAATGCCAGAAAGAAAGATCGTGTGTCAATTATTACGTTTTCGGCATACTCGCGTAATTATTGGTCGAGAAACTCGACTAGTTTCAAGCCATGCTAGAGGCTCATAATTATTCAAATTGTGTCAGTCAAATAATTCTGTGAGTAAGCCGAAAAACATAATAATTAATTTAGATGTCTTACGAAATATAGAACATAAACCTCGTGTCATTCAAAGCCCCTTTAAAATAATAAGACGGGCCATCGCCATTAAAACCTCTTGTAAGACGAGAAAAATAGCTCATATTAACAACTATTTTCTACGTCTCGAATTCTTTAAAAGTTTCAGGAATACGACAGTTATGCAATAGAGTTGAATTTGCATCATTTATTGTCCTTAACCCGTCGTGTGTCTAAACGTGGATCCACGCGAGACACAGTGTATTTTCTATTGTGTCTCATATACGGGATTTCAAGCGTTCAAGTTAATGATAATTAGTTTTATTTCCTTCGATATTAAAGCTAACTTTTGTTTGCAGGGGTGAGGACGGTATCCAGCAGTACTTGGAAAACAAGACAGTCTCCTTCAGTCTCCCCAAGAAACCTCAGCTTTAAACGAAACAATCAAAATTTCCACAAATGTGGATACACTGATACCTACTACTAACTTTATATACCAAAAACTATATACCTGTTATTGATTAATTTGTTCAAATACAAAACAATCAATTTATTTTTTAAAGTAAGTTTGTTTTATTTTATCCATAATCATTTTTGTCCGAACGAAACATTTCTATTTCTAAGACCACTTCGGCACCTTTTGATAAAATAGTTATTCAATTGTATAACGTAGATAAAACTCTCAATTCCGTCTCATCTACCGAGAATTTCATTTTATAAAACAACATATCATCACGACTTTTATCCCCGATGGAGAAAACAGAGGTGCATATTACGGCACTTAATGCCATTGTACAATGTAACACCCACTTTTTACTCAAAGTCAAAGTCAAAGCATTTATTTCAATTAAACCATAATTTGGTACTTTTGAAACGTCAACACATACAAAATAAATAGTCTGTCGTCAGTCTGTCAGTGAAGCTAGGTGAAGCTAGATTCTGAGCTACTATATTATGAGTCCCATTTAATAGGGGGTGAGCCTATTGCCATATATCGTGCACAATTCCAGACTCCGTGCTACTACTGAGAATTTATTTTAAAAACTCAGTAATATTTTGATTTGAGTAATATTTACAAAACCATTTCTATCTTAAACCTAACCAGTTACTATTAACATCTACCAGACAATCATAGCTAAACATTTTTTAGAAAAACATTTTTTTAACCCGTGAGGTATCAGTGGTTAAAACTCTTCTATCTCCTTTCACTGGGTTTTTTTTTAAGGGGGGAAAATCATCGAATCACTGCTCTCGCCTGGGTGAGGCGGAAGGGAGTGTCAGACTCTCAGACCGTTCCTTCTCCTGCACGTCGAGCCGGAGCCCCGGTTACCCGTTAGGTTCCCCGCGACCCTTTCACTGGGTTGCAAACCAATTTTGTACCGAATTTCAAGCTCATATGTACAGTTATTTAAAAGATATAGAGTGCCGGAATTTTAACGTATATCTCTATTGCTGGGATTTTCCCTAGGATTTTTGGGATAAAAACTATCATACTTCGTTTCCTAGGTCTTAACCTCCGTTGTACCGAATTTTATTCAAATAGGTTCAATGGTTTAAGCCAGGGCTGTCCAACCTATATATACCCTATCGCGGGCTAATTAAATTTCTAACAAAAGCTGAAGGGCCGATAAAATATTTTCACGTTGTGTAATGACGTTTAACATTGTATTCTTTATTTACAGACAAAATTTGTATACAAATCATAGACTAAATTTTATTATTGTTGTTGCACATAAGATGAAGATGTTGAGATTAAAACGAGTGTAGCAAGCCACATGAAAACACGGGCCTTTGTTTGGACAGCCCTGGTTGCAAACATTTCAATTTATGCCCTTCATCTATTAGTATAAAACCTTTTCAATGCCAAACAGTCGACAATTATCCCTCTGCGCCTATCTTTTATCTTTTAATAGCGATTTATAAACAATTTTAAACCAACCAACCGTGAAATACAAATAAAAACAATTCATATTAGTATTCAATTCAATAGATGAAGATTAAACTGTATACTATATTGTAGTGCGTAACGTATTTTTCTATTGAATCGAACACTATGGTAAAATATAGTACTTCTGTTATTTTTATTTCTATTGCTTTACTCGTTACAACTTCTGAGGTAGAATATGTAAGTATTTTTTCTATTTTCTTTTATTATAAGAGATGGAATACAATGCAATAGCTGTTATTTATTTACCTACAGCAAAAACATAGAAAGTAGGTACATAGTACTCTTAAAATTAAAGTTACGGCCTTATTATCTCTAAATAGCGATCTACTATTTTACCAATTTAATTAAACATGGAGAAATGGATATCCATTATACATAACATAAATATAGGATAAAAGGCGTGACCTTTTATCCCCGGAGGAGTAGGCAGAGGTGCACATTACGGCACTTACCTAATGCCACTGTACAATGTAACACCCACTTTTCATTACTTAAGTTATGAGTCCCATGTAATAGGTAATGAAACTATTGCCATATACCAGGCACAATTCCTGATTCCCTGCTGTTATTTATTTTTTTTTTTAGAAAAAACCCAGTTATACTTTCGAATGGAACCCTAGACTTCTTGCCCCGGCAGTGGCACTTGCGACTACTAAGTATCTATTATATTAATCATAATACTCATGTTTACTGTTTTGATTGATTTATTGTATCAGATACCTTTTAGGTGGTATATGTAAATAGGTTTAACTCCTACTAATAAGGAACTCGAATTATGTAACTATTAAAACTCATAAATTCTAAAGATTAAAAAAGTACATTATACCTACAGAAAATCTCGCCATCAAACGTTACAATTTGGCAAGTTTAGATTTAAGGCTACACCTATATAAAAATTCACTGAATAAATAAGTTTAAAAAAATGTAATAGCGGGTAACATAACACAAAGAATATGTTTAAAACTACGTTTAATTTCAGGGAGAATTCGATTTAAGAGTGGTAAGCTACGAAGTATGTAAGGCACCTAAAAAAATAAACTGCTGTGACGTCACTGCGTACACTTATGACAACATCTGGATAAAATATGACGTCACTACTAAAGAAAATATGACTGCAATCAAAGTGAGTATGGAACTCTTTTTTGGAAATTTATTGAATAGACCACCTATTGTATCATGAACCACGAAGAAGACGGAAAGTTCAAACATGACCTACGCATCGAAATACACAACACTATATTTAGTCCGAATAGGAACATATTATGATTCTTGCATTTGCACTCACTATGAAGACTGACGTGAAACAACGCTTGCGTTTAGTTTCGTCATGTGAGTGAGGTTACCGGAGGCCCAATCACCGTTTGGCCGTTTGGCCCCGTGATTGGGCCTCGGGTATTGGGATGATTGGGGAGACTACTCCCCAATCCCCGAATCCCCTACAATCCTCAAATTCCCAATTCCCAAACGGCCGGTGACGCACTTGTAACCCCTCTGGTGTTTCACGTGTCCATGGGCGGCGCTGATTGCTTACCATCAACTGATCCGTCTGCTCGTTTACCGGCTTATCCCATAAAAAAAAACAATATTTATTTTGGCAAGATTAATTATTGTTATAGTTTAGCTTCACCTAATAACTCTGAATATTTAACAAGAAAACTCAACAGATCCGATAAACTGAAGTAAAATTTTAGTTCAGAATTTATAGGCTTCAGATAATTCAACAGCAGATAACAAGAGAAGAAAGCAATAGCAGATGTAAACAGGTTTTTAAAACCGAATGCAAAATTACTGTAGCCCTTTTATATTTTCAGGCTCTATTTGTCGGTTCTTTAAACAACAAGGAGTTGATTAGATTTCGGGTCAACGACATGTGTACCCACATCTTCTTCAAGCCTCTGGTACTGGCTGCCTTCAATTTGACAGACAGCTGCGGTGTATTCAAAGTAAGAGGAATATAAATCTTAAGACTATAAAATGCTGGATACAGAAACTGAGTACAACTGCCTTTAGTAATACTTGACCTGTGACCTCTCATAAACAACAACATTTTTAAGGGCTGTTGACGTTAATACTCAAGCTTAGGCTTGGTCCAGACTTTCGCTCTAGGACGCCTGGCTGCAATCTCAATAATGCATACCTACTTACTTGTGCACATCCCAAAGTTAGTTCATAAGTAATCGAAATCTACTTTCAGGGACACCATGCATTCCGCATAGACGTTCGAGCGACAACCCGAAATCTTTATGGCGGCAAATTCATGTATGGGAATTGGAGTTACAGAGTCTCATTTTTCAACGACAAATGCAACTTACATTGTGGTATTATGAAACTAGCTGTAACTCCTAAGAAAAAGATTGAAGCGTTGTTTTAAACTGTCAAACACCGCGAGGACACCGGTGACCGCCACCTATTGTTCTTTAATTGCGTCAATAATGACGGTACTCAAAGGGCTAATTATCAGCCATAAGACATCACACAACTGAGCAACTGAACATAGAATTCTTCTAAAGACTTTGGCTGTATATAAACGACCTGCATCCAGTGGCTCTCTACGATGTTCATCAGGTTGTAAATCTACCTTATTGGTGGACGTCCTATGCCGCGTTTACCGTACATGCCCTTAAACCTTTTTGCCCGTTTCAACATTAGTCTTAAATAAATTGTAATTTTATCATAATGTATTTTATTTTACTACTAAGTTCCTAAGTTTTTATGAAACTAAATGAGTCGAAGACGTAGTAACTTTAGGTTTTTTTTAATGGGGGAAAATCATCGAATGACTGCTCCCGCCTGGGTGAGGCGGGAGGGGATGTCAGAGTCTTACTGACTAAAAACCACACCCTTCCTTCTCCTGCACGTCGAGCCAGAGCCCCGGTAATCCGTTAGGTTCTCCGCGACTCCGAATCGGCATCGGCCCTTTAGGTATGAGTTGTTCACAAAATGCATTGGAAGAATTTGTAACAGTAATTTTGAATCAAATACGTCCCATTAAACTTACACCAATGTTCGTTATATCCTTTTCTTATTTTTCAATCCTATATCATAACTAACTGAGTAAACATCATTCTAAACCGTCAATGAAAAACAAGCTAGATATTATGTAATTTAGGTTAAAACCTAAACCAGACTATTCTCAGTTGGAACTAAATCTAGGAAGCTCATTGGCGCTTAACCATTAGGAACCAACAGACCGTGCTATATTTTATACAATTCACAATTTTAAATGACAGCTCGAACTAAAATCGTTTCGTGCTATAAAATACCATTTAATTTAAAAACTAATAGCCGACGTTATGTTAAAATATCTAGTGCTTATGTCATTTTGTTTTCCTTTTATTGCTTCTAAATCATCATTGGAATTCGTAAGTAATATAGTACCTACTTATGTTATAACTTTTTAGTGTCTCATTGCTCGATCGAGTAGTCTAAAGAACTTATAACCTAGTAGCAGTTCCAAGAAGTTTGGGTTTTTAAAAATATGTCCCAATAGTCATTACTAAGATTTACAAAAGTGATTATGCAATAACACTTTACTGGAATATATTTCAAATAAGTAATAATAGGTGGGTAGGACTGCCTCGTTGGCTGAGTGGTCGCAAGTGCGACTGCCGGGCAAAGGGTCTCGGATTCCCGGGTCGAGCAAAGTATAAGTGGGTTTTTAAAAAATAATCTCAGTAGTAGCACGGAATCTGGAATTGTGCCCGGTACATGGCAATAAGCCCCTATTACATGGGACTCATAATCATAACATAAATAGTTAAAAGTTGGTGTTAAATTGTTTAATGTTAAATTGTGTAATGTCCACCTCTGCCTACCACTTGGGGGATAAAAGGTGTGATGTTATGTTATGTTAATAATAGTTACTTAGTAAAGTAATTATACATCTAAGTATTACAAAACAGTGAAAGTATACCTAGAGTTTCTTGCAGGGCGAATTTGACTTGAAACTTACAAAATATGAAGACTGCAATGGACCTAAACGCAGGACCTGTGTTGGATCGGCAGTGAAAATTCTCAGTGATGTCACCTTGGCTTTAGAATATAATATAACACAAAATATGAAGGCGGTTAAGGTATTTTTATAACCGTTATAAAGTCGTAGAAGTGCCATAATCTATACATTCATACTACAGATGAATAATATTGGATGGTCAGCTTGTAATACCTATTGAAATAACCGCTTCCACTACGATACATAATTAAAATAACAATTTTTTAAATTTTTTATCCTTCTTTTTATAATAATCAAGCGACCCAACCCGCACGGGTGCAATATGCATGTATTATACACATAAACCTTCCTTATGAATCACTCTATCTATTAAAGAAACCGCATCACAATCCGTTGCGTAGTTTTAAAGATCTAAGCATACATAGGGAGAGACAGACGGCGGATAACGACTTTGTTTTATACTATGCAGCGATAATTAATAATAATTTAATTGCTAAGCTAATTTCTGAAATAGCTAGACCTATTTTGACGGGACTTTTATTGGCGGTTTTTTTTAGCTAGTATACTAAAGAGTAACTGAAGCAACTTTTATTTAAAAAAAAACGTGGACGAAGTTGCGGGTACAGCCGCATAATATTATTACACTTTTTTCCAGGGAAAAATCGTAGGATTGGTGAACAACAATCCCTTACTACGAATTCCGGTTAAAGACCTATGTGAACACATTTTTCTCAGGACCTTAATTATGACTGCTTTGAATACCCCAGACCATTGTGCAATTAATAAGGTAAAGATTTAGTATACCTAACACCCAAAAGACCCGCAATGCACTTATAAATTCAATGGCGCCGCTGGGTACTCACCCAGCGGCGACGCTGATTGCTTACCATCAGGTGCTCAACCTGCTCGTTTACCGCCCTATACCATAAAAAAGCCGCGGAGAACTTAATGGGTTGTTGGGGCTCCGGTACGAAGGGCAGGAGTAGGAACGGGTGGTTTTTAGTCAGTAAGAGTCTGACACTAAAGATGGGAGTAGTCATTCGATGATTATCCCCCTTAAACAAATACCATAAATAAGCCATCATTGAATCATCACAATAGTCATGGTAGTTTTTCTTTTTGCAGGGATACTACCAATTTACCTTTGATATCCAGAAGGTAGCCCGCAGTTTTTATGGGAGTAAGTTCATGTATGGAAATTGGACATTTCAATGGAACTTCTACAGTGACGTCTGCAACATGCATTGCGGTTTCCTCAACCTCTCGCTGACTCCAACAAAAAGTCATGTTGATTAATAAATTAAACTTAATCCGCTAATTCTATTGTTTTATTTATATATGTCATGACTTCATGCATTATCATCGCCGAAGACATAGACAGAGATGCTCATAGGTATACATTTTAATACGCATGTTTCACCAGTTGCATCATGAGTCCCATGTAAAAGGTAGTGAGTCTATTGCCTCAAAAAAGGCAAAAATTCTATTCGGTACTATTAAATACTGAGATATTTACGAAAAACAGAATAAAGTAATGCTATATTTGAGCCCTTTGCTCGGCAGCCGTTGATACCACTCAATAAACAAAGTTTTTTTTATGATATAGGCCGCAAAACGGGCATTTGAATCACTTGATAAATTAATAAATAATTCAGGTAGTCCAAGTAACATAATCTTTACTATGCAAAATATTATACATTTACCGCTACATACTTTTGTCTAAGGGACTTCACATTAGACGAAAGACCGCAGCGCTCTCTTATAAATCTGACATTTAAATTACAATGCCCAACTCTCTTGCGTAGCGCAAAGATTTTGATAATTTAATTTTGTTATGTCTCTACCAACGTAGCCACTGACCTAGCATAGGCTACATAGTCTATACATGGGATACAGCTGTGTCCCATAATGTAGCAGTGGACTTTCCTGGGCAGTAGACGTTGAATACAAATATTTTAGTTAAATCCTGGAATCAAAACCTACCTATCTGCATACATCATATAGTGTTCATAGCATAATATTAAGTATTAGTCATGTTGCCCATTTAAAACTTTCTAGATGCTTTATACCGTTCAGGAAATAGAAAAAAATGCTTATCTCCTCAATTTACTAGATCATCTCCATAATATAGTTCGACTAACAAGCATTGTATAAACTAAATGCTCAGTATCCAATAATTTATAGCAATCATATAAAAATTATACTCTCCAACGAACCGTTTAATAGGGTTTTAAATGGTTAAGCAAAAATGAATCGTAATGACATAGCTATCCCTAACTATATTCGTAAAATTTTACTTGGTTGTACCACACTAAACTTGCTCGAAGTCTCTATAAGTGCAAGATGTTTATACAATTACTTATCCTGATCACGGCGTTTAATGTTCAAGTGTCATCAGGAGCACAGAAAGATTATGTAAGTCAATGTATATCTTCGTGGAATTTTTGTAAATATTTTATTGATGGCTTAAGGACCACGTTTCTAACGGACTCTTGTCTCCTCTATACCAATGTCATCCGTATTTTGTCTTCCAGGGTACTTTCAATTTGTTGATAACACAGTTTGACATTTGCAAAGGACCAAAGCAAAAGGATTGTGCGCATTCAACGGCCTTTATCAGCAATACATCTACTTCAATAATATACGAAATTGAAGTTCTACAAAATGTGTCGCCAACAAAGGTAAAGATTTTTCTAAGGCGTTTTAAAACCAGAGAATTCAGAAAAAAATGAGAATTTCGCAGAAAGAAGTATTTGCCCCCAATTTATTCACCTAATAATAAATTCAGAAACGAATGCAGCATACACAATTCATCGATTTTCGATGTAAAGGACCACCTACGACAAAGGACCAGAAGAGTAATGTCAATTTTTTTATCCTAATCCTCCATATTTATTTTTAATTTTAGGGGAAAATTGTTGCAGTTACCAATGGCAAAGAATTCCTTAGATTACAAGTAAAAAAACCATGCGAGCATCTCTTCTTGAGGCCTCTCTTCAGTTCACTTATGAACGTTACTAAAGATTGTTATATTGTGAAAGTGAGTATTTAATTTAGCAATTTGTAAGTAACTTAAGTTTACGTGCCATATAATTTTCGAAACACTGATTTTTTTTTAACTAGAACGTTGCCCCACACTAGGATTATCTCCTGTGTCGTGGGTGCGTTTACAAACATACAAGTTCACATACACATGACACCCAGATCCGAAACAACAATTTGTAGATCACACAAAGTGTTGTTCCGTGCTGGATCGAACCCGCGACTCGTTGCACGGCAGCCTGTTGCCCAGCCACCGCACCAACCGTACAGTCTCCATTCCGAATAAGGCAGAGACGTAAAACACAGGAGCCTTATAGTAAAAGTTTACTACTTACCACAATAACTTTTTTTGTAAGATAAGCCGGTAAACGAGCAGATGGATGATGGTAATCACCTGATGGTAAGCAATCGACGTCGCCCATGGACACTCGAAACACCAGAGCCGTTTCAAATGTTTACTGAACTTTTGAGGACTAGGAATTTGAGGATTATCGGGGATTGAGGAGATGGCGGTGTAATTAGGCCTCCAGTTACCTCAGTCACATTACGAACATTGTGTTTGTTGTTGTGTGCAAACGTTGTTTCACGTCGATTTTCTATGAGGCCGTGGTATCACACACACATCATTGAATTTTAAACTAAACTAGCTCTACTATCTAAACTAACCCCTGCGTGGTTTCACCCATTGTCTTTTTAAAAAAAGACAACGGGTGTAACGGCCATAAATGGCATAAGCCGGTAAACGAGCAGCCGGATCACCTGATGATAAGCAATCGGCGTCGCCCATGGACACCTAGAACACCATAAGCGTTACAAGTGCGTTACCGGCCTTTTGGGGATTAGGAGTTTGAGGATCGTTCGGCTTCTATTGTAGTCTGATTTTTTATAACCGAATTAAAATTATTCATTTCAAACCAGACGCTCTGCAGAAATGCTACGTTCCAATTTGTTGGAACCTACATTAAAATTCACCTGTGACTTTTTGCAGGGACACTACAAGTTCCAAGTTGATATCCTGGGAATTGCTGAGTCATACTTCGGTGGCACGTTCGTGTTTGGCAACTGGACCTTCAAGTCTTTATTCTACAATGACGCTTGTAATTTCTCTTGCGCCAATATACAAGTTACCATGTCTCCGAAGAAAGAAACTAAAAGTTAAGAATAACTATGAGTAGTTTATTGTATACTGTGGTATATAAGCAGCAAGGTATTAGGTATAATTTCTATTTGATTAGACTCATCATTATTTTCCACGGAAGACCATATTAAAGATTGGAACTTTCGCTTCTAGATACGGTTTCTTTGTAACACTTTACTATTGGAATAAAACATTAGCAACTTTGTCAAAACCTCTTATTTTATTTTCCTACTTAACAATAAATTACTTAAAGTTAAAACAATAACGAACGACTTCGGATTTGTGTACCTAGATAAAATACCCTTCACTTTGCACCGGGTAATAAGTAGGCATGCTAATTTGATTATTTTACAATTCAGTCAAATGGACAATCTTCATTGTGTTCAAAACTAACGCAGTACATTCCTCGGGCCCTGAAAACAAAGACAACCAATTAAAAAAAAAACTATTGTGAAACTAAAGGTTGTACAACACATGCTCTAAACTGACATGCTAACAGCTGTTCTATTGAACATGCATAAAATTTTCAAAAAACGAACGCCTGTTGATTCGCAATTATGCCCAAAATGAGCATGTTAATATTGACCAAGATTCCGACACGACACACATAACACTAAGTAGCAAATACTTAATTGAAGCACGCTTTCGTCCTTGAAATAAGAATGTTTAACAGTACCTATCTACATTTAAACTCGGAACTCACATCTCACTGACAAAACTACAAGTCTACCTACTGTCGACAGTCCAATAAGGGCTAATGTAAGGTCCTAATAGTCCAATCACTATTGCCGGAATACTGAAACGTTACTCAATTTTAAGTCGTGCTTAAATATCGTGCCATCTCTGTCATTTTACAAAGAATTTGTAGTGATAGAACTATACTTAAGCGCGACTTAAAATTGAGTAGCGTTTGAGGTTTGAGTATTTATTTTATTTATTTATTAATAATAAAGGTACATGGTATGCCTTATAATCCAACGCCATGTCCAACAAAACTATATGTAAAAAGTTTGACTGTTGGATCTTCTATATTTAAATTACTATTTAGTAGGTATTAGTAGTTTACTATGATAATGGTTATGATTAATTTTAAATACATGTGGTTATGGTATTTCGACATATGGCTCTCAAAAATAAACTGTGTAATAATTTGGCACTAGAAAATCATACTAGAAAACAGAATCGTATACTACATCAGTGCATCTGGTGAGCAACAACTATAGGTAACCTTCATTTCACGACAAGAAAATAGGTAAACTGTGAAAATAATCAATCTTACATATCAGGAACTTCTTCACCAAGCACCACAGCTTTCCTATCGAATCTGATGCCCCAATGCCCTCGTTCCTTAGGACACGTACTGTCACATGGTATACCGACCAGGCGTCTTCTTTTTCTCACACTCGCGGCAAAGTAACAGGACGCCATGAAGTGACTGCAACGGGCTATACCTGAGGGTTTAGAGAGGAATTAGTCATACACTTGTAACTCAATAATCTTACTTAGTTTAAAAAAAAAAACAAAAAAAAAGTTTTAAATCATACATCCTCGTCATCAGGGAAATCGGATCTAACCATTGAGCTGAAAGTCGATATGTTTACAAGTAGACAGTCCAGAGTTCCATCGGACATCAGTCACTCTCTAATTTTATCATCAGATCAATTTGACGGTACCATTTTATTGGATGGTTACCCAATTTACATGTAACTACCAAGTTTCATAATAATACAAAATACAACAATAGGGGGTAGATGCCTGATTTTTATTTTAATGTCCGTCTCCTAGATTGTTTTAAATCATTAGACACATATTTCTTATTTTCTTACAGAAACGAATACTTTCGACGATATATTGATTTGAAATGTCGCGTGACGTCACGTCTAAGTACATTTTATACGTAGCAATTATGTTTTAGCCCCCACACCTAAACTTTCCTTCGTTTTATCTAAGTATTGTTTTGTTATACGACAAAATACGGTCTCTGATGGTGCACTGGATTGGTTTTCATCTTATCTTCAGGAACGTCAGCAATTGGTCCAGGTTGGTGAGGCTTCGTCGAACTGGTGCCGTTTAGAAGCTGGGGTTCCTCAAGGCGGAATTCTCTCTCCTCTTCTATTCTCCATCTTCATAAACCTTATCACTTCCGAACTTCAGTGTGCGTACCATCTGTATGCCGACGACCTGCAATTGTACTGTCAAGTCAAGATTGAGGACTTACCTGACGCAGTTGCGAAGGTGAACGCGGACTTGACTGCCATATCTAACTGGTCTGGGAAATTTGGCATTAATGTCAACCCGAGCAAGTGTCAGGCGATAATAGTAGGTAGCTCCCGCACTTTGTGCAAGGTTAATCTGTCAAACACCAAGCGGTCACCGGTGACCGCGACCTATTGTTCTTTAATTGTGTCTATAAAACCGGTACTCGACGAGTTAACAGTGCAACGGTACCGCCAGTCCGGTTTGACGGTGCGGTTATTCCATTTAGTGGTGATGTCAAAAATCTTGGGTTGCACATCGACGGCAACTTAACCTGGCGTGCTCATGTTACTAGTGTTTGTCAGCGAGTCACGGGGACGTTGCGAGCCCTGTATCGGTTAAAAAACTTCCTTCCGTCGTCGACCAAGGCGATGCTTGTTCAGTCCTTGGTTTTTCCCATAATTGATTACGCTGATGTGTGTTACTACGACCTGAATGCAGATCTCCTCAATAAACTTGACCGCCTTCTAAATAACTGCATTCGATTCGTTTTTAACCTGCGTAAATACGACCATGTCTCTGCATATCGGTTGCAACTAAAGTGGTTGCCCATACGTCAACGCAGGAAACAACGGGCGTTAACCACTTTATTCTCTCTTCTTAATTCCCCCACTTCTCCTAGCTATCTATCCTCCTATTTTCAGTTCATAAGCGCAAACCACAGCAAGTATCTTCGTTCCACTAATAATCTTCTTCTACAATGTCCCACACACCGTACCGACTTCCTTCACTCTTCATTCTTTGTCCAATCCATTCTGCTGTGGAATGCGCTGCCCACGGATGTCAGGACGGCAACCAGCCGGCTTAGTTTTAAAGTTAAGGTTCGTGAGCTATTGCAGAGGGAACAGACAGACGCATCACGTACTTAATTTATCATTTTGGCGATTGTATTTAATATATATGTATATAAATATATATTATATGTAGTTTTATTCCCAATTTATTCATTTACTTTTATAGTATTGTTATCTAGTAATATTGATAATGTATCTTATGTAATTTATATTATACCTATATATTATACGGATATATGTATGTATTTACAGTTATGCATAATTATATAGATTTTTCTGTGTCACATAAACCATTACACCTATTACACCTACTGTTGCACATCTCTGCATCACCCCATGGTTGACTGTTAGAGAATGCCACCCGGCATTAAGTCCGCCATCGTATGTTTGTTATACAGAAGTGTTAATAAATAAATAAATAAATAAAATAAAAAAATACGTGTCTAATATTTTTTCATTACCTAACTTACGGACTAATTAGATGTTTAATGTATGTAATCGCGATTAAATTTAATTGAGATAAAATTTCATTAAATTTAATTACCTACAAAGTTCGTTACAGGTTGACCTGATAAAAATGAATAAAAAAACAATACTTACGCATAGCATGCCCCTTGCAACCAGGCTGTAATCTTCCACCATTGACACAGAAGTCAGCATGGCCGACTTGACCGTCTTCCCCCAGGAAACCGGCATTAGTATGCATTACATGCACCACGTAGGCATCATCCCTACCCAGTCTAAATTGACGAGATCCATACGCTGATACTAGTGGTCTACCTGGATCTAGTCCTGAGAACAAAGTAGAAGCAATGTTTGTTTTATAATATACCAGTTTAAGTACACAGACAACACAGGCAATAAAAAACAAAGGGGGAAAACTATAGCAAAACAAAGGTACTGCATATCCCTTATGGGATTTGTTCCTGCAGCCCTGTGAGAGGAGACATAAATACAACATACATGACACAGTGTTGAAAACACAATTCAAGACCCACAAACCCAATAAGTATAGGTATTATGCTTGAATCCAGAATCAAACCCAAGATCCGGTCGTCGAGACCAACGAGATATTCATAGAATGTGAAGTATATTGATCAAAAATTTAATTGTTATTCAAGTTCGTGTCTAAAACCAATAGATTTATGGTTTACTTTACTTTGAAGCCATTGTAACTGTTTCGGATTCCAGCTCGGAGTTGCCATAAAAGAGACAATTCCTCTTTATAAAGCACAAATGGAATAACTGAGTTTTATTGTTTTAAAATGATTGGCGTGCTATGTATACATTTTAGTTTATGTTAAGACAAGTGCTATTTATTATGTATATCTCAAAGCACTAATATATTTTAGTAGTTAACAACTCAATACTTTCATTACAAATAAAAAAGTAAATATATAAGTATTCCAGTCTTAACATTACCAGCAAATCTAACTGTAAATAAAAACTATAAAAACTCGAACATGCCACAAAATCCGTAACATATTTTTTTTAACATGATGCATGTCGTTTTTTAATTAAATCCTGGCAACTACATCAGTTTGCCCGAAGCCGGCTTTGGGCTCAGACGTGGAAACCGTAGATTTTATTCTGCTCCAATTTTAAATATAAATAATGGTGAAAGTAGACGTTAAATATACTAAGGTAAGTCGCAAATTCATTTACATAATAGTTTTATGAGTAGTAAAGAATAAATAAGTGAAAGATTCATTAAATTTCATTGGAATTTACAAATGCTTTCATTTTTATTTTTGTAGTGAATAAAGCGCAAGAATGTTTGTGTTACGTTCTGTATCAATCTGTTTTGAATTACACTATATAGGCACTATATTTATTTTGTTATTAAATTAAGGTAAAACAAAGTAAATAATATATATAATTGGGTTATCTGTCTGTATTTTGATACCAGCTGTTGCTATCACTGTAAAAACAAAGTTGTCTTAACGACAACAACATATTGATAAAAATTGTCATTACATTTAAAATTAGTGAGCCCCTATAATAAGCCGAGTGTTGGTGGTAGAGTAGAATAACTATATTTGTTTACTCTTAACGTGGCCATAGTAAACTGACAAAAGATCTATACTCGATAGAGACAGGGCAACAGCACAGTTTGAACTGAACCTTTTAAAAATACTATCTCCTACGAAGAGGAGACCCCTATGGGTCTCTTCTGGACTGTTCCAGTAGTAGGCTCGTAATTTTAATGCTGTATTACAAAACAAAAATATCTAACTATAGATACGTCTTATTTTTTTGTCAGTAACCTGAACATTACTTTTATATGTAGGTATTAAAAAGTGCCGACCACCTGTTAATAACAAATTGGAATTCAAAAATTTAAATTATAGAAATAATAGAATAAATTAAGAAAAAAAGGGGAAAGTATCTTATAGGTGCTATTGTACTTCATGATTAAATGTATTCTATTGTGCAATTCAATATTTATAAACAAAATTGTCTGTTATTGTCCGAACGGATAAACAGAGATATTACTCATGTGATTGAAATCCACATTTAACTGGTTTTGTTATTAATTTATTGCCACACTTGGAGTTTATGTCGATAGTATTATTTAATTATGAAATCGTAAAATATAAGGATACTAATTTATCCAGCATTAAACTAAAAAAACTCAAGATATATATGTATGAAAATCACTGAAAATCTTCAGCTCATTTTTAACTAAATTACGAATATTGTACTTTATAACCATTTTTTAGCACATAATAATTGCAACATTTGCTTACTATAAAGTCAATTTCTGATTTTACCTATCAATGTCAGTCAAAATTGATAGATCGAAAAGTAAATAAAACGAGAAATTAAAACACGACGAAAATGGCTAAAGTAAAGTATATAAAAGTAAGTTATTTGCTAGTATTCTTGATACGAAATTTAAAATACTTCTCGCATTATGCTCAAAGTCTTTGGGCATCGACCTATATCTATGAATCAAAGAAATAGGTCGATTAAATTCGGTTTCCACTCAAAATCACCAAGATGGTATATTTACCATCTATATCTATAATATAGAGTCCAAGACAAACTACACATAAACAAATATGTAGAGGACATATAGTTATTTTCACCAACCATCTCTTAAATAAGAGTAACTTTGCGTGAGGAAGCAACTAAAAACCCTTTAGGTATCACTTATTAAAGTTCGATGTAAACCAAAAGTCATGGCGTGTCACCTATCTTACCTTAAAAATTAAGAGCGATTGGTGAAAATGATTGTCAGTCCTGTATACTTTAATTTAAGAAGTATGCGCCTTAAACCATTTAAATAATGTCAACCATCTTCAACGTAGATTCCTGTTACAAACAAACCTGTTTTGAAACTAGCTAGCTTGGCTAAAGATATCCTTCGTTGATACCATTGAACTCCTTGCTTGTCGGGAGGATGCGCACAATTTTATGTAATTGAACCGACATTGTTCTGCTGAAGATGATTCTTCTCGTTAAAATATGGACTCATGCATACTTCTTTTATTAAATAATATACAATAAACATGTATATATTTGATTAAATAACAATATGTATGCGTAATATGCACGTTTTATGCCATAAATATTTTTTTTGTTTTAGTTAAATAGGTGACTAGATAAAAAAACTGTTCAGATTTTTTAATACATTCTATAGAAACTGTTATTTTTTTTCTTGTCCGTTAAGTTGTTCATCAACAACGAATGGTTGGACGCTGTCAGCAAGAAGACCTTCCCCACCATCAACCCTCAAGATGAGACCGTTATCGCACAAGTGGCTGAGGCAGACAAAGTGAGTGCAAATATTTACATCAAATCTAAAATAAGTCCTTTGATGACGTAGAAGGGCAGAATGTATTAAAGTCGATTATAAATTTTACTTTACACTGTAAGTACGGGAGAAATACTCAAATTAGTATCTTAAAAAAAAAAAAGCATATATGCATGTATACGGTCGAATTGAGAACCGAGAATTGAGAATTAAAAACAACTCCTTAATTTTTTTTGGATAATCCCCATTCGGTATTTTGGCTACTGTAGATGGAACAACCCAGATTCAAACACAAAGCTAATATACCACCGAAAATAGATTATCGAAGCAATTATTTAACAGCAATTTTTATAGGCTGACGTAGATTTGGCGGTAGCAGCAGCGAAGAAGGCATTCGCTCGCTACTCACCATGGCGCCTAATGGACGCTTCCCGGCGAGGTCTACTCATGCTCAAGTTGGCAGAACTGATAGAATCCCAAGCCAGATATTTAGCAGAGTTAGAGACTTTGGACTGTGGAAAGCCAGTGAAGGACGCTGAAGATGAAGTGTACTATGCAGCGACTGTTTTAAGATATTACGCCGGCAAAGCAGACAAAATTTTAGGGAACACTATACCTGCAGGTAATGGCGTCAACAGTGTTTCACTAAAAAGCAGATATAATAATAATGTTCTAGATGTAGTCTTAATATAATAGGTCGTATCAATCAAAGGCTTTTGTTAGTCGCTAAAAATATTTAAGGGTATCATTCTATCGTAATTCGTAATACATCACTTCGTCAAGTATTTTTTATTATTTCATTTAGACACGACACTTGCAAGATTTATCCTAAAAATAAGAGCAGAAAGTGCATACTTGTCATACATGGGTACTTTCTTTACACATAATCTTTCATCTATTATAGTACCTACTAAGTTAATATTTACAATCATTGTTTCTACGTTATCTCTACTAGACAGTGAGATAATTTTATTGACGTCTATTGTCACGATTTCATTAACTCTTTAGAGCGTGATTATTTTAATGTCGTGTGTTGAATGTTAGACAGAAACCTTACGTTGCTTTTTACTTGTCTCGTAGATAATGCTAGAGATGCGAGGTTATCAAGCCACATAATTTTGAAATCAATAAAACATCTGTATCTCTACCAAGACCAACACCTATTAGTATATTTAGATTTAGACAGCAAAATACGTACACTAAAATAATATAAAAGCGTCGATATATTTATATAGAGATTTGCCGAATTACTTCGTTCTACTTTGATCAAATTAAAAAATACATTCCTACATTAACTTCTATCGCAACTGACAAACTATCAAAACCGCGGCTTCCAAATTCAAAAGCAGCATAACTACAAGATTGCTTTAAAACGTTCTATTTTTTAATTTTTCAGATGGTGAAGTAATGTCTTTTACTTTGAAGGAACCAGTGGGTGTTTGTGGCCAGATTATACCATGGAACTACCCCATACCAATGATATCATGGAAAATTGCACCAGCCTTGGCTGCTGGTAGGACTAATTTATTTATTTCTATTATTATTATTGTGATAAATGGTGTCTAATTAGCGCCTGTCAACATAATATATTATTTTATTACGCTTCTTTACTTTTCTATTGTTAATTGAATGGCAGTTGGCTTCCTAGTTTATTTAGAGCGATTTATTAGCAAATCATTAGATAAAGGCATGAATACTGAGCTATGACCTTATAGTCTGTGTGATCTGCGACACAGACTTTAAATGCCTATATTTTTTTGATTGGAATGGGATGACTATTATATTCATAATTATTGATGTTTTTACCTGAACATGTCGAAACTAAAAATTTTGAGACTCGTCAAACAATCTCTCTCATCATTTAATGAACTTGATGAATGATGAAATATAATATCACAGTATAACTTAATGGCGTAAGCTGTGGTGTTATATATGTATACATTTTCAAAATAAATAAATAAATAAATGTCTTTTATCCCCGAAGGAGTAGGATAAGTGCACATTGCGGCACTTAACAATGTAACACCCACTTTTCACTATGTTATGAGTCCCATGTAATAGGGGGTGAGCCTATTGCCATATACCGGGCACAATTCCAGACTCCGTGCTACTACTGAGATTTCCTTTTAAAAACCCAGTAGTACTATGTTCGACACAGGAATCGAATCCAAGACTCCTTGCCCGGCAGTCGCACTTGCGACCACTCGGCCAACGAGGCAGTCTGAATAAAGTTTATACCTAATCTCAAGCACTCCTTAAACTGTCAAACACCAAGCGGTCACCGGTGACCGCGACCTATTGTTCTTTAATTGTGTCTATAAAACCGGTACTCGACGAGTTAAACTATATTCATTACATTTCAGGCTGCACAATAGTCCTGAAACCAGCAGAACAGACACCACTAACAGCTTTAGCAGTAGCAGCTCTGATCAAAGAAGCTGGTTTCCCTCCAGGAGTAGTCAATGTACTACCAGGGTATGGACCTACAGCTGGAGCAGCGCTCACACACCACCCTGACGTCGACAAGATTGCTTTCACAGGATCCACTGAGGTAGGTAAACGTGTAAATGATGAATAGTGTTTTCAGTTTCAACTGGAAGCCAAAAGGGATAAAAGAGTGCTTGGATAGAACAATGCGGTAATTGGCTATTTGCTGTAGAAAATTAAATTTATCGTTTAATACTTTCAGGTCGGTCGCATTATTCTTGGAGCAGCTTCAGCAGTTAATCTTAAGCGAATCACTTTGGAATTAGGTGGCAAGAGTCCTCTAGTGGTTTTTAACGATGCTGATGGTAATTTGATTTCCATATTTATAAAAACGATTAATACCTCCCTTTTCACTAATTGAAATGTTTGAAGTTATAAAAATAATATTATCCAGATTATGAAAGTAGATTGATTGAGTGTTCTCATTATTTTGCCGAAATAGATAATCAAGTATATAATTAAGTAATTACCTTGTACCTATCATTGCAATATCGATCTTTGATATTTCCGAAATAAATAAACTTTGGACCTTGTCTTGCCTTAAAAGATATAATTTGATGGGACAGTCAACGATAATACATACATGATATAAATTATTTTCATATAATATCTTGTAAGCAATTTATAAAACCTGTTATTGAACAATTTAGTGGAAAAAGCAGCGCAGATTGCTCATGCAGCGGCATTCGCAAACGCTGGACAGTGCTGTTGCGCTGGCACTAGGACTTACGTACAGTCTGGGATCTACGACCAGTTTGTGAAGAAAGCTGCTGAGATCGCTTCCAAGAGATCCGTTGGAAATCCTTTTGAGAACGTCCAACAAGGACCTCAGGTTTGAAAGTTGTATATTTTACTATTGACTATAAGCTGCCACTAAGTTACGTTTAACTCGTCGAGTACCGGTTTTATAGACACAATTAAAGAACAATAGGTCGCGGTCACCGGTGACCGCTTGGTATTTGACAGTTTAATATGATTCTTTATCACCTTTCTGCACTCATTCTAAGTTTCTTGAGCTCGACACTAATTGTGAGATCTTGTTTATTTATGCTCATTAATTAGACATTTTCAACTTGTCTTGTACTTAATTAAATTAATCACTCCCTTTGACGAACGATTAAAAACATTTGACATAATACATATGTATTATCGTTTACCAAGACACACATAAAATATCAACGTTATTTGAAATAAGGAAGATATTAGTGTACAAAAGGGCATTCGATATTTTCAGATCGACCAAGACATGTACACCAAAGTTCTGAGTTACATAACTGCTGGTAAGGAAGGTGGAGCAAAGTGCGTAGCTGGAGGTGACAAGTTAGGAGATAAGGGTTACTACATCAAGCCAACTGTGTTTGCTGATGTCACTGATAACATGAAGATTGCCAGAGAAGAGGTAAGTCAAATGGAAATGACATTGTTAACGATTAGACGAGGAAATATTAGATATCAAGTCTCAGGAGAAGATTATGATAATTTTCCAAATTGCATTACATGAAAAATAATTATATGTATAATCTGTATGGTTCTTCAAGAACTAAAAGCATCCAGCAACTTTTTAATGAATCAACAAGTCTTGCTTAAAACGAAAAAGAAGGAGAATTATTTTAATAAGTTGCTTTGTCGGTGATGAAGTTTTTCTCTTTTAGATATTTGGTCCAGTGCAAAGTATTTTGAAATTCGATACGTTTGAAGAAGTGATAGATAGGGCAAACGATACTAACTATGGACTTGGTGCTGGGGTCATTACCAATGATATCACCATTGCACTTAGCTTCGCGAAGCAAGTTAGAGCTGGATCCATCTGGTAAGTTGATATTGTATGATTTGATGATTTTGATCAAAGAGTTGAACTCAAGCTCCTACTGACATTATAAATGCGAAAGTTTGTGAAGATTTATGGATGTATTTTTATTAGCCTTTCAAAAGAAAATAATAAATTATTAAATATTCTTTTTAAAAAAACTACTGATGGATTTGCTTGTGGTACAGTGATAGATTTGAGATGGGATATGAGAGGGGACCTAGGCGAAGCCCCTGGCTGAAACTAGTATTTTATAAGAAGTGGAAGGTATAAGAAGAGGAGGAACTAGTAAATATTTTAAAAAATGTATGCGTAATCTTCGGCTATAAGGTGATGTGTGTTTTACATAAACTAAAGTTTCTATTAGAAATAGAAATAAATTGATATTTTTCATCTTTCAGGGTCAACACGTACGACCACACGCCTAGTCAAACACCATTCGGAGGTTTTAAGGATTCCGGTCTTGGTAGAGAGCTGTACGTACATTTTTTTTCTATTTTTTTGTGAACACCAGGGGCGTTTTGGGGAATACAAATTTGAGGATTGTTGGGGATACGGGGATTGGGGAGACTATGGGAGGGAAGGAGGTAATTGGGCCTGTGGTAACCCCACTCACACGACGAAACACGCAAGTGTTGTTTAATGGCGGTTTTCTGTGGGGCCGTGGTATCGCTCCGGTAGAGCTGGCCCATTCGTGCCAAAGCATGGCTGTCCCACACTTAGCTATTTTATATTAAAAAAAAATTTCAATAGATATACTCTGAATTGTCTCTGTTATATCTGCAGAATATTAAAAATACTTTTTCTTATTTCAGAGGCGAAGACGGTATCAACCAGTATTTGGAAACTAAAACAGTAACGCTAGCGTTGCCAAAAAAGCCACAGCTGTAAACGTATTTCTTTGTTATATTTTTTTTAATTATAATTTATAAGTAATAGGTACTACTAGGTACAAATTGATTAGTAAGTCCTAAGTTGGCGTTATGTTTAAAAGTAAAAAACAACGTTTAATATCTATACATATACATAATATGTGGTAATGGGAGCTAACATTGTTTTTGCTGTCAATGCTGTTTCGCAAATGTCAAAAGGAGTTTTTTTTCCAATCACTGCAGCCATCCAATATTGAACGTCCAATGCTGTGACACTGGCTAATTCCCTATTGGACGAAGAACGTGAGTTTCAATACTAGCGTCATCTGGTGATCAGAAATGCGGTATGCCCCGTTGTGAATAATATGAATGTTTGCAGCAGCGATTTCGTATGGTATTTGCACATGTATTTGCACAGATAGATAATGCACAGGCAATCCTATATTAGTGTATTTGCACAGGTATTATTGAATGGCCTTCCGATAAAGTCATACAGGGACAATCTTTTGATTAAAAAACTAAGCACATAAAATTAATATTTTTTGTATGTAAGTATGGCATTCTAAAATAAATATAATTATAAACAATATACTGGATTTTTTATTTTTTGTTTCGTCCAAGATACATTAGGGACAAATTAGTTACCTGTTTACCGAAGTCAAAGTCATAATACCATAATTTGGTACTTTTGAAACGTCAACAAATACAAAATAAATAATAGTCTGTCAGTCAGTCCATCAGTGAAGCTAGGTGAAGCTAGGTGCTCATTCCAAAATGTAGATTCGAATGGAGAAGAACGAGCAAGAAACTCCATTCGTTCCGCTTTTTTTAAAAGTATGTTGTACAATGTCTTTGATATATCTAATACCTACATATCTATTATGAAAACTTTACCAATATAATCACGAAAAAAATGAACCTATAAGTATATATTTATAACAAATACCTAATTATCTATCTACTATCCACACAACACGTCCAGTCACAAAAATGTCGCTGACAAACAAAGACAATTGCTTTATAAATTACATTTAAATGTAAGTACACAAACCCAATTTTAATTTATAACATTTTTATCAGGACAAATAAAGTATTCATCATATCAATGTTCAAGCAAAAGATTTAATCATTTCTTTTAAATTCTTGTTACAACAGGAAAATGTGCTGCACTGTCATATGATTAAAACTATGCATGCAAACCATATAAGAACCTATTAACAAATGTCTTGAATTTCACGGAACAACATCCTGCCTTTTTTCCTTAATTACATTCCTCAATTTTTATATAATAATTACTAGAATATATGTTTATTATTATAGAACGGGCTAGTGCTGAAAATCAGCGCCGCGACTCGAGTTACCGCACACGGCCTCGGGTCACGGCATTTCAGATGAGCACTTGGCCTTTTTGCGCCGTGCACACTTTAGCCCTTTTTGTTATTGTATTTTATTCTTCCTGGTTTAGTTTGTTGCGGTGCAAATAAAAAAAAACTTTCTTTCTTTCTTTTTTTTTCTTTCCTCCGTTTTATAATTCATTCATCATCGACTATGGGCTAGGAGCCTCCCACACGTAAAGCCTTTTGAATAATCTCCATGCTAGACAGGGAGTTGGAGGTCGCAGGTCCAAAGGTTCGAAATTACCAGGGAGCGCTGTAGCCCGGTCTTTGTAAGATGTATAGTTCCCTAGTCGGTTTTTACAACAACCATGTGAAAAGCAAGAATGATAAAGGAGAAATTATAATTGGCCTGACGCTACTACACAGCTTGTTACAAGCCCCAGGAGTAGCTTAACCCGGAGTTGCGGTCAACTTAACGGGTTACCGGGGCTCCGACTCGAAACAAGAGTACGAACGGGGGAGTTTTTAGTCAGTAAGAGTCTGACGTTCCGTCTCGCCTCAGCCAAAGCGAGAGAAGTCATTTGAAGATGTTATCTTCCCAAAAAAAAGGATTAGGTTATAATGAAAGAACTTACCAACAATTTTGTACTGTTTCTCAGTGAGATGGTTAGAGATCATGCCGCAGATATGAGCGCCCAAAGAGTGGCCCACACAGGTGGTCATCTTCGCTAGACCTCCAGCTTGAGTGATTGCTGAGTATAGCTGAGCTGTACACTGAGCTGTCTTCCTGGAATTATTAGCATTATTTTTATGGTCTCTTTTCAAAGACTATACAGTGAAAAGTACAAACGATTGATGAAGCGTTCATCGTAGAGTGCATCATCGCTTACCACCAGGCGAGATGGTGGTCAAACGGCGGCCCATCAAAGAGATAGGACAATGTGATGACGCTAATAGGATAATAAAAACAAATACTTATAATGAAGAAATAAAACAACGAATGTTGTATTTGCTTAAGAACACTTTGTGGTCTTCAGAATTTAACTATCTCAGGTCTAGCACCATACTGTTTTCTCTTAAGGGATAACTTGTTTTCAATTCTTATGGTCTCTATTATAAGCTCGCCATTGATCAAGTTTCCGCAAGTACGGCCAATGAGCGGGACTCAGATCAATCCCTAGGATGAAAAAACTAAGTAGATAGACTTCCTTATTAAAATTACTCATGAAGAATGCAAGAAATTCTCGTAATGACTTACTTCAGTACTCATAACTACTTACTTCATATTAGACAGTGCAGAAAGGTAACAAGGAAACCGTGTCAGCACCGACCAGTCCACCATAAACACGTTGTAATCCTTGCGAGACAGGTAAGCTGAAATCATATGAATACAAAATGTATAGGGAATGATGAATAGGGATGATGACGGGGTTTGAAAATTAATAAAAATCTAATTAGTCCGTAAGTTAGGTAATAAAAAAATAATAGACACGTATTTTTTTTATTTTGTCATATACCTAATAAAACAATACTTAGATAAAACAAATCAAAGTTTAGGAGTGGGGGCTAAAACGTCATTTCTACGTATAAAATGTACATAGAAGTGACGTCACATGACATTTCAAATCAATATATCGTCGAAAGTATTTGTTTCTGTAAGAAAATAAAAAATACGTGTCTAATGATTTAAAATAATCTACCAGACAGACATTAAAACAACAGTTAGGCATCTACCCTATTTAGCATACTCTGTATTAAACATCTAATGTATTGACGACATCGATGTCCATCAATGTCGCAGGAAAATACAGTTTAAACCGATTTCCTAAATATAAACAAAAGCATTTATTGCTGCCTATAAAAGGTACCGTTGCACAGTAAGTAAAATGGGCAGACGTGCTCCATTATAGACCGCATCATCGCTTACCACCAGGCGAGATATGGGGCAAAAGGTCGGCCATCACTACATAATATAAAACAAATTCGCTATCCGCCGTCTATCTGTCCCTATGTATGCTTAGATCTTTACAACTACGAAACGGATTTTCATGAGGGTTTTTAAATAGATAGAGTGATTTTTAAGGAAGGTTTATATGTATAATACATGCATATTGCACTCGTGCGAAGCTGGGGCGGGTCGCTAGTCAAATATAAAAAAGGGTTATAACAAATTAATATAAGTCTCTTTTTGCATAATTAAATAACTTATTAAAAGTCTATTAGTCTAGTCACTCGCTATTAAGCTCTGTTAGCTCACTATTAGGTTTGGTAACTCAACGACATAATGTAATAGTGTTTACGCCAAAGTTAATAAACTCGATAGCTTACCATCTCTAATAAAAGTCATTGGAGTTTTGGAGTATGTGCCGTTGAAGCCGTGAATGATGAGGACATTCTTTCTCGTCTTCTTCCATCCAAAATCACGAAGCAGTTTCGGATATCGAGGATCTATGAAATGTTTGTGAGGATGTTCTCTGAAATAATTGATAGAAGAAATTATAAGACGAAATAAAAGGATTAAGATGACACTGGCGTAATTATTTTTATTGATTAATAGGTAGGTATTTATCTAAGTATTGGGTAAAACCCTGGTATAAGCTATAAGCTGTAGGAACTATATTTTCACCGATTTTCTATTTGACCCTAAGGTTGACTGGGAGAGAATGCCATATGGCATTAATTTCCGCCTTATTCTTTTTTTTTAACAGTCATAACGTATGAAAACCCAAATACAGTAACTGACATATAATTACAACGTTAAAACATAAACAAAAGAAAAAGAAAAGTAAAACAAGAGTTAACACCATTCATAAGTTTCTCTCGCAGTACTTCAAGCATTCTGATAAAATCTCCTTCCATCCGTCCGCAAACAGATCAGTAGTTGGACTGGAATCCAGGAGATCATTGAGTGCGGCCAGAGTCCGAGGAATAGGTGATTTAGCGCGTGTGACGGTCCGACATGAGGGACGGCAAACAGCCTGTGCTTTTTATGTACTTACATTAAAGTTCATCACTTTCTGTGTACATACATTAAAGTTTAAATAAAATAAAAATAACTGCTTATAAGATCCCATTCCCCTAGTTGTTTTCCTTCGGCCATCGAAAAAGAGCCAAGTAGCGGGTAAAAACGCGCATGTGCAGTTATTTTATATGTATTGTTAACCTATGGAGTTTCTTGCTCATTCTTCTCCATAGGAATCTACACCTTGAAATGAGCACATAGCTTTACTTTTAATTTCTTTTTCACGTTCAAAAGTGCCTTTCTGGTCTAATTGAAATAAATTATTTTGACTTTGACGTATACAGATAATTCCTCTGCATACAACTACAACTATCAACGTACTTATACCTCTAATACAAGCCACTTACGGGGTATACATGAAGAAATTAATCTCACTGTCTGGACACTTCCACTCTCTCTTCATAACGCATCGAAAGTATCGGAAATCCATCATGGATGCAAGATCGCCATCCGCTTGAGATACTGGAACAAAAAATTTGATGATTAATTCATGTTCCGTGTTTGTAGAATCAATGCAAGCTACATTAATAGTATTACATGTTTTATTCTGCCGAAGAGGTAAGCAGACGTGTTCATCTTAATATATATACCTACTTATATTATAAAGCTGAAGAGTTTGTTTTTTTGTTTCTTTGAACGCGCTAAACTCCAAAACTACTGGTCCGATTTGAAAAATTCTTTCTGTGTTAGATAGCCCATTTATCAAGGAAGGCTATAAAATATCACGCTACGATTAAAAGGCGCCGAGCAGAGCGAGTGAAATCGAGCGGAAGTAACTAGTTGGATATAAAGCAGGGATGTTATGGATATGAAATTTCGGATACGGATTATATATGGATATAGAAATGAACATACATTTTGGCCATTGGTTTATTTTGTTCACGTACATTATGTTTCGACGTAAGTTCCTAAAGATTTCCTAAAGACTTCCTATGCGTGTCTAATAAATCTATTTGGCAATAATTAAATTTAATATTGTGTGAAGATAGTGTTAATTATTTCCGTCTTAATACGTTTGCTTAAGTGGGTACATTTTTTATGAATAAAATTACAAACCCCGAACTAGTAAATCATAGACGTCTGTTTGAATAGAGCACGCGATACGATAGCGCTTTATCCGATCATTTGAGCACTAGTCAAAGTGTAAAATATGTTATAATAACATCCATTTAGTACAGCATTTTGTTATTCTTGAGTGCATGTTGCAACACTTAAATTCAAAAGAGGTTTCGTGGAAATTTCGAGATGTGCAACCATACAAATACAAAGTTTACAACATTGACTGAAATATATATAAATAAAAGAAAGAATCCGGAATGATCCTGATTCCGCATGGATCCTTAAAAAAATACATGACATCAGATCCCGTTATCATCACCCGTAGAAACCTTACTTATATATGTACCTACTTCTCCGAATCTATTAAAATATATGTTACTAGCTGAGCCCACAACTTCGTCCGCGTGAAATAGTGATTCACAGCTCCTCCCCCGTAGTTGATAGCGCGATGATGTAGCCTATATGTTGACCCAACCTGTTAGTAATATTCATGCCAAATTTGAAGTAAATCCATGCAGCACTCTTTGAGTTCATCCCGGACATACATACAGACAAACAGACAAAAATTCTAAAAACCATATTTTTGGTTTCGGTATCGACTGTAGATCAAGCCTCAAGCATTCTTTTAAAAAAATATTCGATGTACAGGTTTTACTTGCCTACGATTTTATTATATGTAGAGATATATAGATATGAGCTGACCCGGCAAACTTCGTTATAACTAACCTTACTGATTTCTCACCTTTCAAACCTTCCCTGGACGAACATTTCAAGATCAAAATTAGCCAAATCGAGTTTCGTTCTCGAGTTTTAGCGACACTAACGAACGTAAATTCATTTTTATTTATATAGATATGTTATTGAGGAGTCACTCTAGGAGGCGACCCTATGAGTGACTCCTTACTACTACTTAAATCAAAATCTTATTAACCTGTATTATCTACCTTACTATATTTTCATATAAACCTGTGCAGGGAGAGTGAATGGGAGCTCTTGTCATGATACTTTCACCACCAACTCGGGTACCGGACTGGCCAGTTTGTAGCAGATAAATGTCCATTATTTGCACTTACAAAACGGATAATGTTTAAGTAGAGGAAGATTTTTTATATCACTATGTAAAGCCTCATTTTTTTGAAGAGTACATAATAACATCACGCCTTTAATTTTCATTACGGCACTTAATATCACTGTACAATGTAACACCCACTTTTCACTATTTATGTTATGAGTCCCATGTGATAGGGGGTGAGCCTATTGCCATATACCGGGCACGATTCCAGACTCCGTGCTACTACTGAGATTTTTTTTTTAAAACCACTCGGTCAACGAGGCGTTCAAGAAACTTCAAGTGTTGGAAAACCTATCATAATGACAGTTGTCACACGCGAATCTGACCAATTTTATGGCATAATACCAGATAGCCATAATATCAGAGGAGTTTGATGGACGGTGAAGTGAATTTGGGGAGTAGGGATATGCCAAACGCAATGTAAGCGTTGTCTCACGCTAGTTGAGACGCCAACGAACGTGAAACAACGCTTTGCATTGCGCTGTTTGGCGCCAGTCGTCATTGCGGTAGTCTTTCACTTAATATAACCAAAATTTGTTCATACATAAGTAGTCTTTAAAAGTCGAAAACAAGGTCTATAATGGAGTTAGTCGAGAGCGGCCACCGTTGACCGCTTGGGAATTGATCAGTTGTTATTATCTGAGTTAGATACAGAAATAACTCAGATCTCTTCAGACAGCTGGTGAGTCTGGAAAGTCTGCCTGTTATTTCATAAGACCTGTATGTATTACCTTAACATGCAAATAAAGAGTTTGAGTTTGAAAAAGCTTCTAAGTCTAAAGCTGTAAAGCACTATTCATTTTAATTATTTTCTTTCTATAAATTACAATTTTGTAGAAGGTCCTTAGTTAAACAGGTATTACTTTGTCTTAAAACGTAGTTTTCCCATTAAGGCCGTGACTGTAATGTAGTAGGGATTTGGTCAATAGTTTGAATTTCAATTTGAAGACCACAGTGGTGTAGCTACGTGCCGAATATACAACGTCCACTCAGCATATATTACTATTTATAGCTCTTACTTATACCCACGTAGAACTTAAATGAACCTATTACTACCAGTTTTACCCTGTCAGATAGGTAGGTACTTCTCAATATTTTATTTGCATGGCTGCTTCAATGGCCGCGTGATCGCAAGTGCTACAGCCGGGCAATGGATCTCGGGTTCGATTCCCTTGTCAAGCAAAGTATTACTGGGTTTTTAAAAAAAAATCTCAGTAATAGCACGGACTCTGGAATCGTGCCCGGTATATCGCAATATTCTCACCCCCATACAAGACTCACCCCCATACATGGGACGTGCATGGGACTCATAACATATAGTAAAAAGTGGGTATTACGTTGTACAATGGCATTAAATGCCGTATTGCGCACCTCTGTCTACCCCTCCGAGGATAAAAGGCGCGATGTTATTATGTAATATTGTACAGAGGTTCGTAAGAGTAACATAATTATGCGTTAATATTACCTACTTACAATATGCCGTATATATGGCCAGAAATACAGTTTACATTAAAGCCAATTAAATTATGTAACTTGAAAGAAAATAAATATAGAAAGTAAGCAAATACTATTTACTATCTTAAAATGTATATTTAGGTACTGAGATTTACATACAAAAGTAATTACTTTAATATAATTATTATAATACATTTAAAATAAAGTATTTCGTAATTGCGTGACGCCTAACTATATAAGGCCTACCTATTTACATATCACATTCACCAAATTTCGTTTTATCACTCATTTCAAGATGCTGCATTAAAGAAATCCATGTGAAGATTAATTTCTTCACGACCATAATTACTCTGACAGCTGAATGCAATTAAAATATGAAAAAGTAGAGACAGGAGTTCCCTTGAGGCAACCTCAAAAAATTAGGAAACAAAAGGGATAACCTATTCTTTTGCCTTGTACGAAGAAATCCAAAAGGAATCTTTTTTTTATGGCATAAGCCGGTAAGCAATCAATGATGATAAGCAATCGGTGTCGCCCATGGACACCTCGAACACCAGAGGCGTTACAAGTGCGTTACCGGCCTTTTGGGGATTAGGACTTTGAGGATCGTTGGGGATTCAGGAATAGGGGAGATTGGGGAAGGGGAGGGTTATTGGGCCTCCGATAACCTCACTCACTAGACGAAACACAACGCAAGCGTTGCTCCAGGTCGGTTTTCTGTGAGGCCAGGGTATCACTTCGGTCGAGCCGGCCCATTCGTGCCGAAGCATGGCTCTCCCACACTTAAGAGAGATCTATAAAACTCTTACCGGATTACAACCTTTCACACACACTTTGCAGATCTATAGGAACAGACAACCTTGCGAGTTACCGGGCCTCCAGGTCAAAACGAGAGTAGGACGGATTGGTTTTTCAGTCAGTAAGAATATGATACTCCCTTTCTCCTTACCGAACGCAGGAGAAGTCATTGAATGATTATTTATCCCCCAAAAACAGCCCTCGTGCCAACCAGACCAACCATAACAAAGCATTTCCGTGCTCATTGCGCGCATACGCATTACGCAATTACTTTCGATCTCGTTTTAAATTTCGTACGCAACCTGCGTAGTGACCATTTATAGTGTTTTCTCTGAAAGTTGACATACTTTTTATGCATCATCAGGTATCCACTCCACTGAAGTTTGTTTAAAATTAATGGAAGAAACAACAGCTGCATACTTACGAAAGTAACTTCCACTGTCCCTTTCAACTGTAATATTTTAATGTCTCTTGGACCCCTTCTTTCATGCGTACAGATACCTAATTGGTCAGTTTACCATTTTCCTAACCTTTCATAGTGTCGCGGAGAACCTAACGGGTTACCGGGGCTCCGGCTCGACGTGCAGCTGAAGGAACGGGGTGGTTTTTAGTCAGTAAGAGTCTGACACTCCGTCCCGCCTCACCCAGGCGGGAGCAGTACCTAATTCGATGATTTCGTCCCCTTAAAAAAACATTTCATAGTGGTCCAGGAAAATGTACATATTACCTATTGTATCTTCTATTGGCTACATTTTTCTACCAATCGGGATTCGTAGAGTTCATTCCATTCAGTATGACTGAACTTGTCAATGATCTTCGTATCTGTGGTCATTTCGTTGATTATTCATAACAAATGATCAAATAACAAAATTACATGTACCTATGTCATAATGTTAAATTAAACTTCACATCACAACTACATAACAAGTAAAACATAACATAACATCACGCCTTTTATCCCCGAAGGGGTAGGCAGAGGTGTACATTATGCCTCTGTACAATGTAACACCCACTTTTCACTATTTAAGTTATGAGTATGTATATGTAAT